CCAGAGTATTTGTGTTGGGTAATCTATGGTAGGGCTAACCCATACAGTGGTGGGGCTCAAGTTAGTATTTGCAATGTAATTACATACACGCTCCCCTTGACAGTGAAACGCCACTCGTGAGGTTTAGATTATTTTCCTGTCTCAATCCAAATTGAACTGTATGAAATAAAAAGGCACATTTGTCTTGTAGTAAATAAAAAGGGCGACCTGGAGCCAATCCTGCAATTTCCCTTACAAGTGAAAAAGTTGACATGCTGAAAACCCAACCCCTGCAGGGGTCTGGGGGGATTCTCCCCCAGGAGATTTTTTGAAATACTAACGTAAAATACACATTCTGGTACTCTCTTGAGAAGAAAAATAAATACATCTATTACTTCACGACATATTGGAAAAAAAAATGAATGGTGTTTTTTGTTACTTTGTTCTGAAAGCTGAACCTGCTGCTCCTCACAGAGAGAAGAGGGAAGAGGCTGTGTGAATTACTTTACATTGTGGATAAGGGAGGATAGCCCCCATTGTTCTGTATGTCAAAATGAAAGACAGCCCACAGACCTATCAATCATCAAACCGTGGGGTCTTATTTCATTACGTGTTGATTTCTATCAACACGTAATGTTGTATCGATGTATCGGGACTTCCTGCAACAACACCACGCCGTTATCGTGATTCTGATTGGCCAGAAGACATTATCAAAGATGTTCTATTGAGAAGACGATCACTACGTGACAAAAGTTTTCAAAACCGTTTCTAGTCTTCGGTATTTCCAGACAAGTGGCTACTGAAATCAATCTTACTAACTGCTGTCTGTGCAATTTACTCCGCGAGTTGGCGGACTTTATTTTGCTTACCTTAACATCATTTGTCAGGGGCTAAGCCATTTCTTGGTATGGCTGTAGCCTAGTGATGGCAGTTTGACACTGAAGCTTCGAACGGAGCTTCAACCCTGGACTTCCTATTCCATAGAAGCAGTGCTTCGAAGCTTGCTTCAAATCACATGACATATGACGTCCGAAGCAGAAACTGCTTCAAATCACGTGACATGTGACGTCCGAAGCAGCAACTGCTTCATTTCCTGAATGAATCAACTGACTGGTTCACGGTCCATTCACGCGATTCAATGCACTGCCTCGTCTCGATTCTGACAGGTGACAGGTTGAAACAGTTTCAAACTTGAGTGCTTCAACACTTTATGACCGCTCTAAACAATGCACAATGTGTGGGTTGTTGTCGTAGTTTGCGTTGTTGCTGTTGAGTTGTTGTTATTGCATTTGATATCATTATAGAGCAAGCCAGGAAGTAAGATAGGTCGTTCTGGCTCGGGAAACACTTCGAAATGTGGAGAAGTTGTGAACAAAAAGACAATTATCAGTAATATAAAAACAGTTCAATATGTTAAGGAATAGTTAGCCCAGTGGATAGAGCCGGCCGCCCGAATGCGGCGATGTCCTCCGCGCAGCTGGTTCAAAGCCCGGAATTGACGTATTTTAATCATTGCTTTTCAACTTTAATAACTGATAAAAGGCCCTCTCCTCCCAAAAACATGTCTAGCACTCTCTAGTCTCTTCTCAATAACCCAATACACACAATTATCAATCTTTAATTGCAAATAGAACATGATATTCAGTCTTTGTGTGTGTGTGCATCGAATATTTTTCAAGGCAAAGATACGTTAAACCCACTGCAGCCTTGCACTTCGCCAGCAGAGGTCGCTGTAACTGAAGCTTCGAGAAATGAACCTATTTCCGACACAATTGTCCAAGTGGTTCGACGCTTCATTCAAAGCTTCATTTTGCCATCACTACTGTAGCCTACCCCAGCCATACCCTGGCGCCGTCACTGACCGCAAATACCTCATTCCTTCCTTCTACTTGGATCCGAAATGCTTTTCGTTTTGCGCTGTCCCCCGTTCAAATGAAATCGCCGCCAATCATATTTCCACGCTCGTTCCAGGGCCGGGGGAGGGGTACAAGGCTCACGTGTTGTGCTGCATTCACTTGCACTCGGACATTAGAGATTTTCTCTCGTAAATGTCCGATGAGCCACAACTTTTTTTTCAAAACAAAGCTGCCAACTGGGGCAGCTGGGGTGGCAAGGCATTTTTCTGAGGTGGCAGCTGGCACCCTGTGCCACCCTGTAGAACCGCCACTGCCGTGATACTGGCTGGAGAGATGATAGTCGCACCAAACCATTCAGGTCTTTTGGCGCACAGTTACATCACATCCGGACAGTGGTAGTTCTGTTTTAGACCACTTGTCTATCTTTTTTTAATCTATGGCTCTGTTTTATTTGAACTAACATGGGATAGGCTACATTGTATTAAATAAAAGGCATTGAACAACAGAACCATAGATGCCACTTGACAGCGGGGCTGTTCTGTTTTACCCCTTAATGACTTTTTTTTTGGAAGTTCAAGTTTGTTCCTGTTCCAACAGTGTTCAAATATTTTCTGCATGATTTTCGAGTACTTATAAAGTTGAATTAAATTGTACCTATTCTTAACTTTCACATGCATTGTGTTCACAGAAACCTTGCTCAGATCTTGTGCTCTGGGCCTTGGGCAAGTCTTGAGAGGCTTCTCAATACTCAAATTTCCCCTCCTCGACTGCTCGACTCCTCGGTCCTCCGGTAGTGACCCGGAAATGAATTTCAGCGCGCCATTTTGAAGGCCGTCTCATTTCTCTAAATGCACACCGAGGACCGAGCATCGAGCGTCGAGGAGGCTCTCTGGAGGAGCTATAACCGAGGATACATTGATGGTTCCTCCACGGCTCCTCCACGGATGCATTTCCGGGAACGGTGGAGGCGTGACGCACGGCCGGATTTATCTCAGCCAATGACAGCTATGCATGCATCCCCTGGATATTATTTTAGAAACTGCTTTCATCGCGTCGCGATGTTTCCAGTGAAAACAGCTGTAAGGTCCGTGCAGAAAGCAGAGCAGTGTGTATAATATATATCACTCAGTATAACAGGCCTACTCTCTTTATTTGCTTTAGTTTAGTAGATATCTACAAACAAAGAGTCGATATTTTTCTAAGACCATTGCTTCACATAATAAAATACACAACGGCTTATGCTTTAGGAGCTGTAGGTGTGTGTGGTACAGTGTGTAGGTGTGTGTGGTACAGTGTGTAGGTGTGTGTTGTACAGTGCGTAAATGCGGCGGACAGACGGGTCTCAGTTGGTTTGGTGTCCTCTGCTTACTTTTAATAGGCCTACTTGTAAATACAATTTTTGGCCCGTAATTTCAATTCCCCATTTCAGCGACCAGAGAGAGGGGGGGATATATCCAGTCTCTGATTGTGTTACGTTATTATGAGAGTGCTCTCATACTTTAAATTGTATATATTTATATAAATATATTTGTGTGTGTGTCTGTAGCCTGTTATTGTCTCATTATACCGCACTCTCAATTAATTCAAAGTAAATATGTGGGGGAACAATGTTCAGCTGATCTAACAGAGATACAGCGCTATGACCAAGCGGCAAACTCTGGGGAACAGCCGGGAAGCCAATACGGAAGTGCCACACACTGCAGTTCATACATGGGCCGCTAGGGACTGGCTGCAGAAAGGAGCAATTTCCATAGACCCCATGTTAAAATGCCCAACTTTACAGCAGAAAAAAACATGTTTCTACCCATGGATGCAATACATATTATTATCGATATAGTGAGATTCCACCTTCATGATTATGAATCTGTGAGTGAATTGTTTTCTAACACGACCCTTTTATTTATATTAGGTCTTAACGTGTTTGCATAAATTAGGGCGTGGTCACGTTGATGGACACGTACATGCCTCACTGTCAGCTAACAGCAACGTGTCCACTCTGCTAGGCTACAACCATAGAGGCTACAACGTTAGTTAGTCATAGTACTTGACCCTTTAGCTTTAGCCGTGTTCGTGGTGATTGTGCCTTTTAGGGAATATTGTTACAAATACCAGACAATTAAAATGTCGTGCTGTGCGCTTGAATGTACTAACAGAACTTCCAAGAAGTCTAAAATGATAATATTATACATGTTAACCCCGTTCGCAGGTGTTTGTGTGCTTGGTAGCTTAGCTTGTTACTTATTAGCCAGCTAAGGACGTAACCCTTTATGCATACATATACATTTTAGTTTATGATTCAGCCTTGGGTAAGACTTTTATAGTCTATGGCTATGACGCCCATAATGCTAAACGGGAGCAAATGTTAATAGGTGACCCAATTATCCCAGTGGTGGCCGCCGGAGCTAACGGAGCCGCAGGGGGCTAGCTCCAGCCGGCGTCCCGGAGCTAGCCCACTGCGGCTCCATTAGGTCCGGGCGGTGGAGTCCGTCTTTTCTCAACGTGTGAATGACAAGCATTAAGAATAACAAAATATAGCTAATTCTCTTGCAGATTGTCTCATTTGATTATGAATGTAACGTTTATATAGGGGAACTACACTGTTTGCAGTAACTTGGTATGCATGTATTTCATGTTAGCTTAGCTTATAGCCTGAGCTAGCTCTGTTTACTTCCAGTTTGGAGGCAGCAGGTCCCGCCTCGGCTCCGCCTCTTTGCCCTTATTTGGAGCAGGCGGGATTAGACTCTGACGTCACAGTCGAGCCGTTAGTGGCCGACTCCGCCTACTATAAGGGCTTCACGGCAACTCTGCAGAATCCTATGGGTGACGTCACGGACACTACGTCCATTTATATATACAGTCTATGGCTATGACAAAACACTCGACAGCTGTTGCCACGTAATAATGAACGGACGTCTCTTTAAAATGACCGCTCAGAGGAGAGGAGTTCTCATTTCTTTAAACGTCTGCTGCTTCCCCTCCTCTCTCCTCGGTTCCCCTCCTCGGTCCTCCGCTCGCATCTCCTGTGGGCGGGTCTAAATCTCGAGGAGGGGAACCGAGGAGGGGAGTCGAGGAGGGGACATTTGAGTATTGAGAAGCCTCTTTGGTGTGGATGATATTCTACTGAAGAGTATGATGCAATTGTCATTTTTGACACTTTACTTTTCACACTACAGGGCCTACCAAGACAAGGGTTCTCGAACAACTGTGGGGTGTTTGTTTTGATGGTAAGATACTGGATATACAGTATACATATAGTAGTCCTATTTTTCTGTATTCAAATGTATAATGCTTTCAGCATGCTATGCACTCCATTATTGCTCATAGTTTGAGACATGCTGTGATTTATTTATATCCAAAACAACATTAACGGAGGAATATTATTTGTCAATGAACACCATAGATTCACAACAACCTAACATAATATACTATTTCTTTATTTACAGTACGCATTTTACATTGTGGCAAGAGTCCAATTTGATTTCAATGAGGTATGTAGAAATAAGGGTTTCATATTTCAGTTTTTCATTGATATCACTTGTGGATACAAAACTTTTCAGGACATATGTTGTTGACCCATCTGATTGTGTGCTTTTAATATTCCAAGACGAACATGCAGCAAATTAGGTGGTGCCTAGTTCTCCTCAAAAACGTTCCCATGCCGTATGTTTCTTTAATTTTACAATTTACATTTGCATTCTTGAAACTATTTGTTACACTGTAACCAGACTATATCATTTTTAATGAATGTTTTTATGTTTGTCTTTCTTTCACCAAGGTCTGAACAAGAGAGGTCGCAAGACTGCAAGAGGCGACGGGAGGAAAAGGCAATGCAGGTTGAAGTTGTTGAATCACAAATGATAAAGTCTTGTACCAGTGTGAGTGTTAAACATTAAACCTCTCTTTGTCAAATATATTTCAGGATGAAGAGGTTGTGAGGTTCCACAAAAGAAACAGGCCATAATTTGATGGCCGCTGGTAATTGAGATGGGGTCATGACTCATGAGTGACCGCTGCTGGGGGGGGAACTGTTACAATCAGCTGTATTAGGTTCACTAATGCCTCAAAATGTATTAGTTGTCACAATCTGTCTGTGTTTTATTTTGTCCTGTCTTGTCTGTTGATTCCTGTCTCTGTGTTCAATAAAATTGAAAGTCCTAAATTGAAAGTGTTTCTTAAGTAAAAGAGTATAAGTATTATCAGCTAAATGTACTCGAAGTATCAAACGTAGAAGTACAGTATGCGGAATGGCTAAGTTCACAGTATTATATTACCATTGATATTATCCTGTCAATTCTATCAATTTGTCAATAATGGCACTTTTTTAATATATTTTTTAAAATACTGGTAAGAAATACAATACTATAAGATTTCATTTATATCACATGTTTTTTATCAGTAAAAAGCGAGTAAATATGAAGGCCCTTTCTTGAAGTCATAAATGAAATAATTGATGCAATTAACATGCAAATAGACATTAAAATTTGCTTTGAAGACTGTCAATGTGTTTAATTTGAGTTTGACATTTGTAAATGCCGTTGCCATGGCGACATCACTCGCCATCATCACAGACCTCAAGGTATCATTATATTACCGGTATCATTATATATATATAGCCTATATATATATATATATTAATAATATAAGATATAATATGTTAATACATATATAATATGTTACAAAGGTTGAGAAGGAGGGGCTCCCGCCCACAGATATAATATGTTACTTTTGTAAGTAGCCGACACAACGCGGGAGTCGGGACGTCACGTACCTCAAAGGTTGAGAAGGAGGGGCGTTGAGGCTCCGCCCACGTTGAGGTATTGCGCACTGCATTGAGGGGCTTCTCTGTAAAGCCGGTCCCGCATGCTGGCCCTTACGGAACCGACTAACTCCCCTTTTTCGTGTACAGCTCTCAACATGCTCAGACTTGTAGTGATTTTTTACCTCTTTTAATACTTTTCGCCTTCTGAAAGAAAGAGGTGAAATGTGCTAACGTGACGGCCATCTTGGTGTTGGTGACGTGTGCGAGACCATAGTTCATTGAGCGTTTCACACAAATAAATGTTTTACTTCACAGTTACGACAAATTTTTATTTTTTTGACTTGCAAAATTATCTTTTAAATTGACAAGCATCATAGGCTATGTGTAATTCGTGGCACAATTCAAACGGGGTCGAAAGATAATATTTTTCTCGCCATTAATTCAATACATAATTTTTCCGAAATAAGGTCCACCGGAAGGGGAGGGACTTCGCCTCTCTATGGAGAGGCGAAGTCACGCCCATCTACTTCCGGACCATGGGACCCCGGAAGCGAAAGATTTACATTGAATTCAATGGAGAGAGAACACATATCTTTTGATCCCGTTTGAATTGTGCCACGAACTACACATATGATGTTTGTCAATCTTAAACAATCATTTCCATGTCAAAAAAGTCACATTTTGTCGTAAAACTGCTGAAATATAAGACTATGAAAAATACGCTACTACAAAGACTACAAATCCCAAATCCCATTCTGGGTCGCGTAAGTGATGTCACAGGCATGCTCGGTGATTTATAATAAGACTCGTAATTAAAGCGAAGAAGAAGAAGATCTCATAACTGATTTATTTCCTCCAATAAATTATAGATCGCTAAAAATAAATTCACTTTTACAAGATGCCTGTGTGCTTTGTACCAGGTTGTAGTCATAAAAGTGATCATACCACTTGCTCCTTCTATCGATTCCCGTCTGATGAAAGGACCAGGAGTCGCTGGATCAGACATATCAGGTAATATCATAGGTAATATACATGTTGTGCATGTTCATGTGCATAGTCAAGTTAGCTACCTAGCTAGTAGCGACGAGTAGCGAGCACGTTAGTTAGCATTACATTACTTAGCCTTGTCATTTTTATAGCCTTACCATTAAGTTATTATTTTATTACATGAAGTAAACCAAAATGTTAAACAGTAACCAAACATGATGGTAAGTATTTCGTGAAACATTTGAAGAGTAGCCTACTGCGCCCACCACCGGGTGCTAAGGAAGCAGTTCAGGGAGAGTCGAAGGCAGGCAGGGAGCTTTGCATGACATTCTTCTGGACGTGTTTCATTGTGATGACAATCTGTTTGTTGGAAAGACAGTCGTTGTGTGCTTATTGAGAGAAAATTGTTAGAAGAGATAATTATTGCGGAAGTTTATGAAGAGTATTATGCAGAAGATGTGATGCAGCATATTTTTGGTATATTCATTTTAATCTCACCAATATATAAGAGGTGTATTGCATCATGTTATCCCTAAATATATGTGTGGGTATATACATTCCTGTGTATTAATAGTTGAAGGAACAAAATACATTTTTCCTCTTAAATATAGAGAGGTTTTTTATAGATTCCTGAAACAATGTTCCCTTTTTCTTTAAAGTAGATTAGCGCAATAGTCTTTTTCTTTCACTTTTACCCTTTTCATCAAAAGGGTGCTTTAGGCTATTTTTGAGGGGTAAAATGCAGAATTACTTGTGAGTTCTGTTTTGAGTGAAAAGATTACCCTTTTGAGTGTTTTTCTTGGTTAACCATTAGATATAGTGGCTAAATTCGTTCTAAGTTAATTATGCGCATCCTGCAGGCCTTGAGAATTTAGTCACACAGTTAAGAGAGACAATGGTCCTTTTAGACTAAGGGTGAGCTTACTTCGGGTGAATAAAAGTTCAGAGATGATTGGGGGGGGTATGAAGACAGTTAGGCGTTGTTGGTGAGCTAGTTCTGAGGATGTCATGGGATAATGACTGTTTTATTCCTAACAAGTATGGCTTTCATAAAGAAACACATGACTTGGGTGATAAGATGTGTTTTGTTGTAAAATGGGCCCGTTTGGTTTTCTGCTGGCCAGCGCTGGGTCATTGTGACAAAGCATATTTTGCGTCTGCCAATGAGAGGACCTGAAAAGATGACCAGCTGACCTCACCCCTTCCTTCTGTCTTCTGGTATATGTTCTGTCGATTCCTGAGTTCGGCCTCTCTTCACATGCTGTCAGGACAGAAGGATCTCCGCAGCAAGTGAACAGGGCAGAAGTGGGCCGGCTACTTCTTAAAACATTACAATATGATTTTAGTATATTGTATTATATGGTGTTGTAATGTATTATAGTGCATTGCATTATTACCTTTGATAATTAAAACAGATTGTTTAAACTGGTATCTGGGTGTTCTCTGTCTGATTTCCTTCCTGTTATGATTTTAAGCAGGACTCGTCAAAATGACACGCGGAGCCGAGTGGGGTTGTAAAAACCTCAAAACTCCAACAAAGTGGTGACCCAGACGTTTACGAGTGGGCGTTCAGAGGGAGTCACATCAGCAGCCAGCGGACGAAGCTGTCCAGGGGTGACACCTCGAAATACTTTCTGACAACTAAAAACAGAGCTCTATACAAAATATCAGGTAAGCACGGATACCCGTTACACTCAAAATCTGTGATTTGGCTATATTCAAATTTTTTAGAGTTGTCAGGAATATTTCTCAGTGTCTAGTCTTCACGCTAAAGATAATGCAATGCATATTTTAGCATAGGTAGGTAACTAACTAATAATAATAAGATTAATAAAGCAACGGTTAGGAACCTCGTGGATTTTTCAGAATCGCACGACTAACTCGTTAGCTCCACGTGAAGCGATGAGGACTGTAAGATGAAGGTGAAAGGCCCCGTGCGTTTTTTTCAGAAATCGATACGGCTAACCCATCGGGGGAGTTCAGTGGTTTCTAATGATTCCATCCAGAACTAAATTGAATAATGTTTTCCAGTCTCATAGGAGCTGCAGTTGCATTATAAGTGAATCCAAGGGGAGATACGCAAATTTCAAATAACCATTTTGAAAGGACCGGAATCTCGTTCTCTTGTTCTGTGGGGTAAATCTATCTGGCCAAACGTGACGATAAAGAGATTATGTTATCTGTTGAAATAAACATCGCACCATAAAGCTGGATAGACTGTACGGGGAATAATTTTCTGTGAATAATTACTAATAGATAAGGGAGAAAAGTCAGATAAAGAAATGCGTGGTCACCTGGGGTTAAAGAAAGCCCCCCTTTTTCTTCACAGCTTTCCTCTAATTGCTGAAGCAGCAGCCCGAAGTGTGACTGCTTGTGCTTCTTCTCAAAATGCCTCAAAAATGGCTGCTGAGCGTTGAATTTAAAACAAGGAGTGAATAATCAACGACTGGTCTGAAGTTGGAGTGAATAACATTGAAAATTAATAGATCAATGTGTCGTAGATATTTAAATAAATAAGAAACTATAATTTGTCGTTTTTAGCATAGTTTTTGTGGGATGCAGTTACGTCACATTGTGGTTTTCATGAGAAGTTTTGAGAACTGATTGTTACTATTGCATTGCATTGTGAATTTTGTGCTATTTGTCATTAGGTAGTTTTTGTAATATCATTAGTAGACATTAATTGTGTTTATGAAGAAAGAGTAAGTAAACAGGAGGGATCTGTTCATGTTTAAACATGACAGAGGTGCTGCACGAGGCTAAAAGCACACTGTTGGCTAAACACAGAGAGGTGATTGATGAGAGAAGCTTGTGCAGGAGCAGCTGCAGGGCACAGAGAGAGAGAGACAGGAGAAGTAGATGTTTTGAAGAGTTCAGAGAGAGTACAACTTATATAAAGTTAACTACTAGTCTGAAGAATGTTATATTGTTTTGTGAGTAAACATGAAGTAAAAATATAAGAACAACATGCTTATCTAGGTTAACAGAAAGCTGCTATTAACCAGTTTCAGCAGCTACTGTCCTATCTGTGTTCCAAAGAGAACATACGTTGCATTTACAATTCATATTAAGAAAGTTCACAATTGATACCATTAAAGGCCGTTTTGGATTAATAGGGCGTGTCTGTCATAAACATTCGTGCTCGGATGGAATAAAGTGTTGAGATGTTCTCAAGAGTGGGAGTTTTCACAACGCTTTTTAGTTTGTATTGAAACAATTAAGTGGTAAGGACAGAAAACTGTTCCGTGATGATTTCTTTAGGTTTTAGCTTTAGTAATGGAGATTACATTTTGTGAGGAAACTTTTCCACCAATAATAACTGTTCAAAATATATATTCATTAACTGTAATCAGATTACTTGTTTTTCAAATATAGCGCTAAATACAGTTAGTTTTGTGTTCTGTTACAAATCT